GGTGGTGGAGGCAGAAGCCACCGGCTCCAGCGGCCCCACCAATTGCTAAGGCCCCTTGATCGTACACCAAGCTCAGTGCCCTTTGGAGGGAGCTCCCCCGGGAGCCAACCGCTGCCAGGATCCGACCACCGCCGGGGCTGGGGAGGGTCGCGAGCTCGCCGGGAGGGAGCCGCGCTGCAGATCCCGGGCTCGGAGACCCGCAGGGCAGCCGCAGGATGCGCTTCTTTCTGGCTTCCAGCAGGCGAGGCGAGAGCTGGCAGAGTGCCTGCGAGCCGGGCGAGTGGAGGCAGGAAGGGCCACGCAGGCAGGTTCTACCGGCGACTGGGCTGCCGAGGCTTTGGGAGTAGCAGACCTAAGGCCCGGCTCCTCCCTCCTAGGCTTCCATTAAGAACTTATTAAACAAGGGAGGTTTAAGAGTTGATCTGTCACAGAGCGCTACTTACCCCGACATCTTTGAGTTTGTGAATTACTTTATTGATCTGAAGATTTTGCTCTTTGGAATGTGACCCTGTTTGGACTTAGAGATAATCAGGAAAAGCCGCGGGGGAGGGAGCGCTCCTCGCGATCGCCTCGGAACCTCCCCCGCGGGCCCGCCTGCTCTTCCAGGGCGCGCCCCCTGCGGTCGCCCAAGCTCAGCCCGGAACCCTTGATCCTCAGCTCTCGCGCCTTGGCAGGACATGGGAGCTGTCTGTGGTGCTAAGAGAGAGAAACTGGGAGACTGGGTGTGGGCGGGGAGAGGGGGTAGACAAGAAACAGAATGGCAGTCAGCCCGCCAAAGCTCAAAACAAGAGATCTTCACAGGAGGAGGAGGAAAGGGTCTCTCCATCCTGGTGGGTCTGATTTTCCAAAACAAGAGGCCATTGACACCTCCCTTTCTGTGAAAGTACAGTCCTGGAGCACACCCACTTTACCATCTCCCAGCCCAGAGCCTGCACACTTCCTTTCACCCAGTCCAAAACATGTTCAATCTAATAGAGGTGAGATGGAAGGGATGCTGGGCACTGGGCTCCATGACAAGACTCAAGTTTTGGAGAAGACTGGATTCCTAAGAAGTGGGACTAGACAAACACTAGTGGGAGAAGACAGGGTTCCCTAAGAAGTGGGACTAGACAAACACTAGTGGGAGAATTGAGGAGACTGAGGACATTCTTCCAGAGTCAAAAAGGTCAGTCAGCTCTGAGGGTCCTCAGTCATTCATCTGCCCACCCCTCACTGTAGTCAACAGCCAGGACACAAGGCAGGTCAGCTTTCTCTCATCAAAGATTCTGAGCTTCAGGGGAAAAGCCAGTTCCCTATGAGGCTTGGTCCTGCTCCTGACCATGTCCACTAGTGGCCAAGAGTCAAGGTCCACCCCCCCACTGACCCACCCAAGTACATTGACTTCAAGCCCTGCCTTTTTCAGAAACCAAACAGTTCTCTTCCAGTGTATTCTTTGTAACCACATGGTTTAACAGGCACTAAAGTTTCCCTAGCCCTGGGGAGAGCTTTTCCAAATATTTTTAGAAAGTTAAAAATATTACAAAACAAACTACTCCCAAGCTGCCTATTTAAAGAGGGGAGGTGGGATTGGGCAAGCTCCTGGGGAAGGACTGCCTAGGCTGGATTGCAGTGAGGGAGGAGGGAAGACTTGGTTTGAGGGCAAGCTGCTTTATTTGCAACAGAGGAAACTGGCTAATTTGCGACTGTGCAGTCTTTCATTTTAAGAGGACAAGCAAAGTGAAGTTGATACAGAGTGGTAAGGATATGTGCTGGAGACTGGAGTCAAGCAGCAACTGTTACTTTGCAAGCCTTTGAGAATAGCTTGATTGACCAGGATAGATGGCTGGCTACTTGCCAGAAAGTTTAACTTGAGTCTTAACTCAACTACTGATTTGTGCTCGGTTTGCTAGGGTCCCTGAGCTGATCTCAGGGCAGGCAAACCTAAGGGACATTTGAAAGGTTTTAAGTATCCCTTTGAAACAGGTTCATTCTCTGTGTTCTTGTGGAAAGCAACGAACGCTACTGAAAGTCTCTGTTTGACTAGACTTTAATTTAATCAAAGAAGCAATCCAAACAGAGCCCAGCCATGGTTTGCCTTTCAGACAGGATTGGAAAGTGGGGAAAAGAAAAGGAATGACAGCCTCCCAGGGAACTCCTTAACTAGCTCCAAGTCTTCTGTGAGAAAGGCACATTAGTTAGCTTGTTCCTTGCTTCTCAGAAACAAGGGATTGTTCTCTACCTACCAGTCACCAGCATCCCCCGCCCCCATTTCATTGAGCAGGCACAGAAGTACAAAAGGACTTTTTGTAAAGGAATGGACTATGTTTGTACTTGACTTTGAAGCAATCAGGGAACTTTTGAATCCTAGGGCACTGCCAAGGTGCCATTTGCAGCAATGTTGAAGGAGAAAGAAAGAGAGAAGCCAGCACCCAACTTTCTTTCTGGGGCACTTCCTCTTACAACACCCAATTTGTCCATCTGTACACAACAGCAAGTAACCAAAAGCAAAGTAAATTTTAAAAAGAGATGGACATTTTCAGTTTTGTGGTTTAAAGAAAGCAAGAAAACATGACTGTAAAGAAAAGTGAACTTACAGGGATTCTGACAGATCAGAATAATCACTAACAGGAGTGGAAACCTTTCTATCTCTAGGTTTAGTGCCTACCCCCTGCACTGACCACCTACAGAGTCCAAGCTCAACTTTGGAAGTAAAACAAAAGTGGGGCTGACTCTCCCAGCAGAGTGGCTGGCAGGCTGCTGGCAACCAATGGGTTACCATGGCCTTACCTGGATTTGTAGATTTGTTTATGCATTTTCCCCACTTGATCTGGAAATAATTGTTTATGTGGATTCTTTCCACATATGAACTCTGTGCCTTCCCAGGTCTCCCCTTTGACCCTGAGCTGACTAGACTCAGGCACAGTGTGAGCAGAAACTATGACATCATCACACCTTAGAAAATGCTTTTTTAGGCCTAGGCAAAAAATTACTTTATACTACATTATAAACTGCTGGAACTTAATTTTTAAAAAATCCAACCAAATCTAAGATGGAACAGGAAAGTCTGCTGAGTGGCCAGGCACTGGGCATTCCCAGTAGACAGAGTGGAGCCCAGTTTCCAGCCAAGCCCAGCTGTCTGAGTTTGTCCCAGCTTAACAGGCAAAAAATTAGAAGGGCCAGTCCAGACTTTTTTGTTACAATCATAAAAAGATCAACACCATTTTGACTCAATTGATAAACTGAAGAGAAATCTGCAAACCACTCCCTAATTAGCCAAGGTCTGATCAAGGTGCCTGAGGCAATTTCCTTCTAGGTTTCACCTCTTGATTTCTTTCTTCCTTCCCACTCCTCTTCATCTTGCATTCCCACATCACCACATTTTAAACCCTACGTTTTAACTCTACTAAGGTTCAAGCATCAAGTAAAGTTGGAGGCCGGGTGTGGATGTGATTTAGCCCCTTTGTCATAATACCAAGACAGGCCCTAGGATTAGTGGTACCAGGGTGCTCAGATAGATCAGATTTTCCAGCTGCTGAGGGAGTGACCAGGCACTAGAGAAATGTGTGAACAGGTCTGTAACTGTGCCCACCCCTCACCCCCACCTATTATAGTTTTCCTTCATCTAATCCTTAATGCTGGGCTTGGTAGGGAGTCAGCTAGCCCTGGGCACCTGCAGCCTGCAGTCAATCCCTGACCTGAGTGCTCTGAGCTACAGTCACACACACACACACACACACACACACACACACACACACACGCACACACGAGAAAGCCGGCAAGGGCCTCCTCCACACTGGGCAGAGTCTTTTATTTTGGGTGCCAGCCCTTCCATAAGCGCAGATAAAAGGGCTTGGCAAGCTTGTGTCAACCAGTTTGCTGTCGCCATCGTATTCCCGCTCGGAGCATCCAAGCACAGCGAACTCATTAGGACAAGCAGCTAGGTGAGAGCCTGGGAGGCTGGAAGGCCGCCGTGGGGGACTGAGAAGGCAAGGATCAAAGTGGCAACAAGGGTTTGTTAGCAGGGCCTCTCTGCGTCCCCCGGGGCGTCCTAATTGCCCGTCCAGCAGTCTCCCGCTTGCAGGCTGTCCGGCAGCGCCGGCGCCCAGCCGCGGGTGTCTGAACAGCTGCGAGGCCAGCCGAGTGTCGCCCAGTGTCCGCCTGCCGCCCGGCTCCTGCTGGCTTTGCTGGCCAGTGCTGGGGTCCCTCGCAGACCCAGGAAGACCTCTAGAAGGGGAGGGGTGGCCAGAAGGATCCCCACACGAGCAGTGACCTTCAGGCTGGTACAGCAGGGGAAGTTCGCTGCCTATTTAACCACCACTAACAGCCCACAAACAATTCCTTAAACCATCCACTTAAAAGGACAGGCATTCACACATATGAGCACATGCCTGCTCGGAAGAGGCCGGCTGGAGGAATGGAGCTGTTCGTTGGCAAGCTGACCCAACATCTTCACAAATTTTATAAATTCTTACTGTTCCTGAAGGAACCTTTTTACCAGACATTTCATCACTGATGCATGCTGTTTTAAGTAAAATCAGCTCCCTCGGATTTCATTGCTTGTTAAAAAAAGATAAACTTTATTTTTGTCATTTTCAACCACAAAAAAATCTATACTTTCGTCTAAGCATTTATTTTACGAATCAAAAAGACATGAAAAGAAAAATGTTTTTACTGACGTATATAAGTGACTCTTTTCTGGACAACATATAATAAATATGATATATCACTTATCACTCAGTCTTTCAAATGTACATTTTTTTCATATTATGGAGCATGCCACTTTTTCAAAAGAAAAAAAGCTCATGAGAAATCAGTGCAAAGTTCTTGGTCACCCTCCTTTCTCTGAGGCAGACTAAATTTCCAGGGTAACACCTTCTGCCTGGGGGACGAACTTCAGGCTGTCTGTCCACCAGCAATTCTCGGCCAGAAGGTTCCTCTCCATGCCCTTCTTTCATCCCCTCTTGCCCTCCCTCCTCCCTCCCCCCTGTTTGTCCCTAATGTCTTTTTCTTTTTCTTTTTTCTTTTTTTAAGAACTCGAGGTTTTGTTTATGTTGCTGTTTTCACTTACTGGTTGCACTCAGTGGGGTCAGCATTTTCACCAGTCACTGCTGCTGGGGAGTTATCCAGCCCTGCCTCTGCTGGGGTAGATGGAAAGCAAAGGGCTGGCTGATCTTTGGGGGACCCCCGCCCCTTGGTGAGCGTCTTCTCTCTTACTCCTCTGCCTCCCAAGGCTGCTGGAAGGGAGGCCTGATGGCCTGGTGCGGGGAGAGGCGGGGCAGCTGTCCGGGTCGGGTCGGGGACCTGGAGGGATTGCAGCGTCTTCCCTCCTTCTTCACCGGGGATGAGGGGTGCCTGGGATGGGGTTGGACAAAGGATTGAGGGCCGGCTGTCCCCCAGGCCCCAGGCCGTGGATGAGCACGCGGGGCACCAGAGGCCGCTGAAGCTGCGGGTGGGGTGCCGGAGGAGTCCGGTACATGCTGCTGTACATGGCCGCGGCAGCCGCGGCAGCCGTCGTGCTGTCCATGCTGCCCAGCAGGCTCGGGTGATAGAAATAAGGCGACGGAAACATCCTCTGCAGTGCGGAGTAGTTCCCGGCCTCTGCCAGCAGCTCCAGGCCCACTGCAGTCTGCCGCTTCCACTTGGTTCTGAAAGAAAGCGGGCCCCGCGGGCGGAAGCAGCAGCTGTGGACACTGTCCAGGCACCGAGCCCGGCCGCTTCCCCGGCCCTCTCCAGTCTTCCTTCCCACTCAAGACTTGAGAAACGCCAAATACACATGCCCTGCCCCAGCCCCTACGTGGGGACACCCACAGATGAAATCCTGCCCTTCCCAGGCCCTCTGTTCTGTCCTCCGCCCCATAGTTTAGCCAGTCCTCAAACTTTCCTGGAGGCCAAATGAGACCCCAACTCCCCACAAGCAGTCTTTGGCTGTTTCCCTAAGTCTTCCAGTGTGCTCCCTCCTCAACAATCTAAGCTTTGGGTTCTCAGTCCCTCCCCAACCCCAATGCACCCAGGAGAGGAAACCAAAACCATAAACAAAAGGAGACTGAGACTCCAAGGGTGGTGGGACTAGCCGGGACTCCTCTCTCTCTCTCTCTCTCTCTCTCTCTCTCTCTCTCTCCCAGGTCTGACCCAACCTTAGGTTGAGTAAGAGACACGGGGCAGGACTGTGACGATGAGGTTTCAAAATGAATTCTTTGGAGAGAGGGCTGTCCCAAGGGAGCAGTACCTCCTGACCATTGGAGGCAGGAGATATTTCCTCCCCAAAGAGACAATAATAATTAAAATCTGTGACCCATTTTCCTTGGTCTACTCCCTCCCTCAATGTACCCAAGCTGGAAGATGAGAGGAACAAGCCTTTGCTCAAGTGCCCTACCAAGGAACGCAAGCCTAGTGAGCCATCCATACCCAGCAGCTCCAGCCAAATTAATAAACATGTCGTCCATTTTAAATTGGCTACAAATGACACTAATGTTTTCCGACAGAATTAGGGTAGCTGAAACCATATGTAATGAGACAGAAAATTATGGTTAGATGACAACTTGATGGGCATTTCCAACCTCACTTATGGCCGATTAGAACACAAACGACAGAAAGGGGGGCAGAGAAAATTGAGACAAGGGTGTGGAGTGCCAGTTGTGGAAACATAACCTGGACTTCTGTTGCCCACATTTAGCCCTACTGGTCACGGTGTGGCAAGAGTGGCCTGCCCCTTTCCAAATTTCTTTTTTAGAGAAGCAGTGGTGTTGGACAGGGTCTGGCTCCTCTCCAGCATACAACACATACCCTTCTTCCTTATTGAGAATGCAGAGGCAGCAGGTACCAGAGACAGACACCCACACACACATACTGCAGATTGGATGCTCAGCCAGCTGCCTGATTCTCTAGCCTGTGGCTGCCAATCCAAATCTAACCCAGATGGACTTTCCTAATCTTCTATGCTATGGTAACCAAGGTTCAGACCTGGCTCTCCCAACTGCCTCACACTTAAGCCAAAGCTAGTGGGACAGCTCTGTGAGGACCTTGAGAACTAGGCTGTGTTGCCCACTGGAGACATTTGGAACCAGCTTGAAGCAGGCCCAAGAGGTATCCTTTGCATAGAGGCTCTCTGGGCCTGAGTGCCAGATGCACAGATGTTTCAATTTGAGAAGGTGTGGCTTGATTGATTTGGGGGACAAAGTGGGGAAATTCCAGCAGCTCAGGTTTCATAGGGAAAGTGGTACCTGTTAAGACATTTACAAGTACAAAGATGCCCAAACTCCAGGTACCCTCCATTTCACTCACTAGGAAGTGGCTAATCCCTGCCTCTGGGGACTCCCACCGCAGACCCTCTGACTCTCAGTCCCTAGAGTCTCCAGAAGCCAGGAAGGAAGAAAACTGGTGGTGGTGCTGACAGGAAGGCAGGAGCCCAGTAGTATTCCTTACCTGCGGTTCTGGTACCAGGTCTTAACTTGGGTGTCAGTGAGGTTGAGAGCAGCTGCCAGATCCATGCGGTCCTGGACGCTCAGGTATTTCTGTCGCTCGAAGCTACGCTCCAACTGATTGAGCTGGTGGTCTGAGAAAGCCGTCCTGGCTTTTCGAGGTTTCTTGGCTCTCACTGGGGGGCTCTCTCGGCTACTTGTAATCTCCCGGTCTCCTTCCTCCTTTGTTCCTGGGGTAGAAACAGCAGCATAGCCATACAAGTTAACCTGAAATGGGGGAAGGCCCAGGCTTCCACATTCCCACGCCAGCCATTTATCTGGGAGGACCTCGGTTGCTCCCCTCCCCCATGCACACACACACATACACACACACACACACACACACACACACACTTGGATTTTAGACAGTATAGTAGAAGAGATCTGTATTCTGCTGAGGAGTGTGAAGCTCAAAAGAGTTTCTAAGGGTTTCTGACCTCCTGGTAACCAGCTAGAAATGAAAAGTGCTTTAAAAAAATTTTTTTTCCAATACAGGATCATTTTGTTACTGATTTTCCTTGATGCCCTTTTTGTATTGTTTTCACTAAGAACATTTTTTATCTGGTACTTTTCAAAGTCTTTCTACTCTATTTTTATGAGGTGGGGACATCTTTTACATTCTGCCCTTTTTTTCTCCCCAGACAACTGCTAAGTTAGGAGCATTTGTTTCTCTTTTCTCAGATGCATTTGGGAAATGTTGCAATCAAGCTTTCTACTGTCATCTGTACCAGGTCTTTTTTAAAATCTTCAGAAAGAATGTGTCACCCAGACACTGAGCTGAGCTCAAAATCACTGAGTCCATCCCGGTGACAGTGCAGAGATTTCCGGATTCTATTTGTCAACTTTGGTTTTTTACAGAAATGCTGGGAAATCGATATGTCAATCCCTCTCTGTTTGTACCCGTTTGTGCAGCGCTTCTTGATCTTCCCTGCAGGAAGAACAATAATCTCTCTAATTGACCCACTGGGGAGGTTGGTGCACGAAAAATCGCCAGACCAGACTGTACATCTGTTTTGGGCACTATTATGCTAATGTTGTAATAGTAAATGAAGAACCAATATCCTACCTTCCAAACAGCACATCTTTCCCAGAGAATCGTGTTAATAATAATAATAAATAATTTATCGTAAAGGAAAAAGAATTCCCTAGTGTGTTAAAACTCTCTTGCAATGCAAAGACCAGGACACTTACTTATGTAATTGCCTAAAAAGAAAATGGAGAGAGTTCAAGGCCAATTTCCACTGTCAGCTTGATTTTGCAAAAATTAGTTGAATTCCATAACATTTTATTTTTATAATTATTTCCACTTTGTAAAGGGCCAGCAAACTGATTACACTCCAGACATTTTGTTGGGAGTATTGGTGAGAAGGGTGTTTTAAAAACTGGATTATGAATTTTTACAGGGTTTTCTTATTAATCACCATCTAATAAAATAAGCTTACTCCTTGAGTCATGTTGAGAATTTCTCCTACTTTAAATCAGACAATTCCTGTGATGGTATTTGGAAAATATGGGGGAGTCATTTGCATTGGAGAATAAACATCAGGTTCTGATCACACCCCTGGACACCATGCTAGCCAAGCTGTTTCTCCACTCCCCTCATTCCCATTTTCAACGTCTCAGCTAGAAAAATCTCAAGTCCATCCCTCTTCTCAACGAAAAGTATCTCCCTTCAGATTTCTCCCGGTGGCCACCCTCCTCCCGATACATTTAAAATTAAGCAAAACAAAGAAGCTGGGTGGCGGTGAAGATTGATGGGCATAAATGTAACCAACTGAACTTCGGGTGCATGGCTTGGATCGCACGCCCAGGCCCCTCTCCAGCTTGAGCTGTTTTTGACCGTCACTCAATCGCTCGAGCAGTTCCGGGAATAGTTCCCCATCCGAGATTCGCCAAAGACTAGAGGGGAGAAAGGAACCGGAAGGAGAAGATGGACGGCCGGCGGGACGGTGCAACTCACCGTGGCATTTGATGTCGCTCTGAGAATCTTCCCGCTTGTCCAGTTTGGTTTTGCTATCCTCCTGCTCCAGCTTTGGCCGGAAGCTCTCGTGTGCTGCGTTGCTCTCCTGCTTCGGGGTGTGGTGGGGAGAGGAGACGCTGGTGCTGTAGGGTGCACACGCCGCCAGAGGTTTGCTGTCTCCCAAGATGTCCTTAATTAAAAAAGAAGAGGTGGAAGTCCTGGGGGCCGAGGCGGCCGAGCCCAGCTGCTGGGCGGCGGGCTGAGGCTGCGGCAGCGGTTGCTGTTGGGGTGAAGGCTGCAAACTCGGCGTGGGGGCCGCGGCTGGCGGCGGCTGTTGGCTATGGTGGAGGTGGTGGTGATGCTGGGGCCCGTCTGTTACCAGATGCGGCTCCGGGGGCTCCAAGGTGACCGAGATCGGAGAGGAAGGCGCCGTTCCCACGGTATCAATCTCCGAACAGGGGGACGGGGTGGCCTGACTCCTAAAATCCGCAGTCCTCGCCTCACCGAGCGGGCGGAAATCTCCGTTCATCATGCCGGGGCTGCCCGAACTGGCACTGGACAAAATCGTGTCTATTCCAAAACTCGACCCGCTGGCCCCTTCCATTGTTGTCATTTCTACATGAGGTCCACGCCACTCCGTCGATCAACTGCCTCCGGGACCAAGCAAAGGAAACTATCGTAAAACAAAATAAACCCTAAAAAACGTTGACGCCGCTTCAAAAAAAAAAAAAAAAAAAAAAGTAAGGCGGGAATGAAGGAAGGATAATGGGGAGGTGGCAATTGGTGGACACTTTCGATACAACTTTTTTCCTTTATGCAAAAAGTAGGGCTAGAGAGAAGGGAAGACAGGAGGGGAAAGTTACAAAAATGCAAAAGCGGGGGAAAGAAGGAAGGTGCGCTTGGCTGGCCCACCGCGCACGTGGGAGGCGGTAGCAGCTCAAGGCACCTAGGCGAAGGCGCAGGCGGCAGAGAGCGATCTGGACGCCGCCGCCACCGCCACCGCCGCCGCCTGGGTCTGCCCAAAGCCTGGCACCGGGCGGCGGCGGCGGCGGCGGCGGACACGGCAGGTGCAACGACCGCTAAGCCCTGGCGGCCGTGCGCCCTCCGAGCGCCTGGGCAGCTCCCCCGGCTACTGCGCGCGACCTAGTCGCCTCAGAGTCGAGTTTCTGAACTTTCTTAGAAAGTTGTGGAGCAGACCCGGCCGCCGTGGCCGCGGCAACTCCAGATGGAGGAGAAAGAAGATAAGGAGCCAGCACGGGCGGAGGAGACCGCAGACAGGCGGCGCGGGGCGACTCCCGCGGCTGCCCGGCGCGTTCGCTTGTAATCCGCCGGCTCGCGGGCGGCGCCGACCCCCCTCCCGTGACGTCACGGCCACTGCCGCCGCTCCCCCGCAGTCCGGGCTGCGAGCCGGGCTCTGCGCCCCCATTGGCCGCTCCTGCACTAGCGAGCGACGCCAACGTGCCAAGAGCCAATGGGCGCAAGACTGGCGAACCCGTCAGCCAGCGCGCCTCGAACCCCGCTGCTCTTTTGAGAACCCGGACATCTCTTTGCCTGCATCCCCGAGCCCATCTACCTACTCCAGTGGTCCAAGTGGTACCCACTGTCACGAGTGAAGGGCAAAGGGAGAAGGGGGAAAAGAACAGAGGGACACTAGAGAAAGGGAACCAAAGGGCGAAAAGAAAAAAAAAGTGGTAACGATTGATTTAACGATTTGCCCATTTTCTTAAGTCGGGGGTGGGATTGGATGGAGAGGACGCGATGGGTAACGGAATTCCTCCGATTCTTTGTGGCCTGCAGCGCGGCCACGCTTGCAGCCTCCCTAGACACGGGCTTGAATAGTTCGGAGACACAAGGAAGGGGATGCCTGGGGAACCCACGGGAAAGTGTGCAACTCCTCGCGAGCAGGATCTGTGGATGGGCCCGGAGGCACTGGACTCTTAATTTCTCCCTCCAGGAGCCCATGCGCTCCGTCTCGGCCCAGCCGGGTGACAGATTCCCGAAACGTTTAGAGCCTGGTCTCCATCCTTGACCCACTCTCAAGGAGGAGCAGGTTTGAGGGTCAAAAGCCAGCTTTGTCTCCAATCAGAGCCAGGGCTGGAAGAAATGCCCGGCTAAACACTTTCTCCTGAGCCGGGGAAAATCCTGCCCCGGGCCAGGGCAGCCACGGTTCACTACGGCGTCATGATGGCGCTGGCGTGGGGCTGGGGAAACAGGGGTAAGGGAGTCGGCAGGCTGCGCCCCCGCCGCGCCGCCCTCCAGTTCGTTCGTCCCCTCCCTCTTGTGGCAAGTCGCTTTTTTGGAAAGGAAACAGTCACTGTGGATCCATTTGGGACCCGGAGCGTGACTCTGAAGCCTCGTCGGAGGGTATCAACTTCCATTATTGCATTATTTTCTTCAGGACGTCTCCAACCTGTCTCTTGTTGAATGTCAGAGTAATGGGAAGTGCCAATGACAAGACGGCGTATTACTCCTGATTAAGTGCTGTGTCAACCTAATTAGCAGAGTAATTATAAGGTGCTAATGAATGATTCAAAGTTCTCTGAGTTACATTTTACTCCAAATTACCATTTTAAGAACCTTATGAATCTGTGTGGTTGGCATCGTTTTCGTGACTCGGTTTAGAAAGGCATCTGTAAAGGGCCTTGAAAATCTCCACGGGCTGAGCCGAAATCTGGGTTTAGTTGTGATTCTGTGTGTCGTTTTCAGGAGAATGCCTTTTTTTTCTTTTGAGGACCAGAGAGGTATCCCGGAGGCAAATGACCTCCTGAGACAAGACCTTGCCTCGGGTTGGGTCGTGTTGTGTGAAGCCTGGAAAGGGGAGGTGGGTGATTCATCCACATCCCTTCATAGGTCTGGCCACATCTAGATGTTTGACCCAGAAAAAAACAAAAAGAAAAAAAGCCCACGTTATTTCGAGGTTGTGTTGAGCTGTTTTGTATCATCCTGGTGACATTTTTCACTGTGCTGTCTCTGAGGAGGGACTAAGGCAATCCAGATGTACCATCCGGGTAGCTCTTTCCCTTCTCAGAAGGCGAATGAGACTTTGCCCGGCAAGATGGGGTTGGTGAGAGATGCCAGGACATATTCCAGGCAGATGCTGGTTAACGCTGCCGGCCTGAGGGGATCTGGGGGCCCCTCTAGGACCTGTGTCTGGGTCCTGCCTGTAGTGACCGGCCAACCTGGGCGGAAGCCACAGAGGGCCTGGACCACCGCCTGAGCCGGCTTGGGGTCTGCGGCCTTGGGCGGGAGAACTGCGTCCAGGAGTTTTCAAGCTAGGCTTTGGCCTTCTGGTGAGGGGTTACATGACCACGGACTGGGGACACGGTGAGGCAGTTGATCCCAGACCCCAAAGCCTGGTGCAGCAGTCTTGGCACCCTGAGCCTGCGAGCACTGACCCCTTCGGAAAGGGCGGGAAGGGCGCCTGTGCTGCAGGAGAATGCAGACGTACTTTCTTCCCTGGTCAATTATCGATTAGGATTTGTCCCATTCTGACATCACCCACCAACGTCCCAACTGAAGGGCGCCTTCTCCTTGCCCCGGGGCCCCAATACACAGCCCGCTCACTGCGTACTTAGGGCAGAAAGTGAGGAGGGGGAGCCAACAAATTTAAAATCTAGAACTGAAGGAGCTGCACAAATCAGTTATTCGCGACCTTGATAAATAATTCATTTAAGCCTGTTTTTGTTTTGTTTCAACGCTTAAAATGATTCGTGCTCAAAAGGCTGATCGCACAGCTTGTGTTGGGCGGTTCGGCAGGGTATTTTTCTTGGAATAATTCGCAACATTGACAGGGGAGACAACGGGAATATGACCCTATGAAAAGGTGAAATCTGAAAAGAAATGGAGTGGAAGGTCCAAGGGTGGGGGTGAGGAGAGGGGAATGCGTGTTACAGCAAAACTCCAAACCAAACGCGAACTCTGTAGGCCCCACCTTGTGAATGTTCTGGATCGGTTCCTCCTTCTTCTTCTTCTTCTTCTTCTTCTTCTTCTTCTTCTTCTTCTTCTTCTTCTTCTTCTTCTTCTTCTTCTTCCTCTTCCTCTTCCTCTTCCTCTTCTTCTTCTTCTCCTTCTTCTTCTTCTTCTTCTTCTTCTTCTTCTTCTTCTTCTTCATTATCATCATTATCATTATTCTCCTCCTTCAGAAAAGGTCAATATCACAGATTTCTTTGGGTGGATGTTTAGAGATTAGTTCTCGGAAGCAACCATGGTGAAGAGAAAATATGACCTTGACCTTTATTGAGGTTCATATATTGGGGCCCAGGAAATGTTAGGAATGGCCTTAAAAATCAAAGGGGACTCAAAGCTAGATCACAAGCTTAATGAACAAATTCCTCAGAACTAGGGTTTAGTTTTTCCTTAGTTTTTTTTTTTTTTCTCACATTCCTCTTTGCTGGTTCCTCCCTCCCTCATTATATTTAATGTATACATCCAAAAATTCCTGTATTTTCTAGCAAAGCAAACACAAATCACTTTTCATTTTAAAAAATTAAAATTCAGAAATAGATCAGGGTGTAGATTTATCTCATTTTCAAGCAAATAGACATGCATTATCTGAACTTTAATCTCAGATTTTCCCACTGAATTTAAGATACAAATATATCATGTCCTAAAGTGGCATCAATTAAAAATGGCCTTCCACTTCCAGGCCCTTGTTTTCCTTTCTTTTCTTTTCTTTTCTTTTCCTTTCTTTCTTTCTTTCTTTTTTAAAGTTTGGGGAGACTTTTTAATTTGTTGTCCAGAAAGAAGATTTGCCAACTGTGAGCAGTGGACAGCAGATTTCCCACATGGTTGTAAAGGAGACATCAATGTCAATCAACGCCACTCTTTCCCACCCCAAAGAATTATTCAGACACAAAACTTAAGTTTTTGCACTCAATACATTCTCCACAGTCCACTTTTACTGCCTAACTTTGAGATTCTTTTAAACTGGAGAATCAGGGTTTTTAAATGGAATTTAATTTTTATGAAATTTGCCAACAAATTGTGATGAACTTGAACTGCTCTTTTTTTCTATCATAGTAATTTGAACATTTTTAAGTGTGCAAATGACAGTATCAATTGACCAGAATGAGGTGTAAAGACACGTCTTTCCACTGGGCGGCGCCAAGAACACCGAACAGAGGTACACAGCCTGCTATTGTTTGTGTAAAAGATGCAGCATACACAAATAAGCTCTGGAACCATCTAAGGCTGACCCCCTCCCCCCCATTGTGTGACCTCTCACTATTTCAAGACTGAAGACCCATCAGAAGTTATCTTTCTTTCTCTTTTTGGAGACGATTAATATATTTCCAACTGCTTTAGATCTTGGTGCATATTTCCTTAGAAAAATAATGTTAAAGAGAAAGATGAAAACACCAAATCCAGTATTTTCTTCAGTAGAGATTGGGAGAAGAGGGACAAAGGTCACAGAAAATTAACGAAAATTATTCTACCAGGAACAAGCTAAAATGATAACCTGTGTAATTAGTGATTGTTGTGGAGGACTGAAAGTTTTGAGAGATAGTTCTGGCGTTGTAATAAAATTTGTAAAAGTTACCACTTTACCAAAACTTTAAAGCTAAGCAGTTGAGGAAGAATCTAGTGAGGCTGCCTAATCAAGGAGTTAGTGGTGTGTTGCACAGGGATTCTCTGAGGAAGCAAACACCACAGAGGAGGAATGGGGGCAGGTGGCCTGTTTTGCCACTTTCCAGCATTCTTGGGCCTTTAACCTTTCTGACCACCAATGTCCAATTATTTTCAACTATGAGCAGTACTCACTAGCTGTTTCTTTTTTTTAATTTCTTTCTTTTATTCATTTCATTCATTCATTAGCTAATAAACTTTACTGAATGTGCATTTTATGCCAGGTGCTTGGGACACTGAGCAGCCTCTGAGATTTGACAGATGCTTGTGTGTTCTGGAAATTGTCATAAATACCATGGTGCAAATCTGAATTTGGTACAGCCAAAGCTCGAGAGAGAGTGGGAAGTCTTAGCGAGGGAGAAGTGGTTGGGTCAGTAGAAAGGTTTTCTAAAGGAAATTGTGTGTGTGTGTGTGTGTGTGTGTGTGTGTAGCCTTGGGATGCACCCCAAGTAGTGGGCTTCAGGAAGATCTACATGGTAACTAAGGGTGATGATGGTGTGCCCAGATTTTATCTCTTGCCCAAAGCTGGGCTATAGTAAGTAGGCATATGTTGGCTCTGGGGATCTGTCCTGAGCACAGCTAGAAGAGACAGAGCATTCCTGAAATATCTGGGAAGAAAGAGGAACTAACTGCTACCTGCATGCATTCCCATGCCTGGCCATCGGAATATATTGCAAGTTACACAGTCTTGAACTGTATTTCAGGAGATGATCCAGGCCCCACACCCCCCAAATCAGAGCTGAATCTTTTCTTAACCAGCCCACTCTTGCTTTTTCTTCACTTTCTAGATTCCCAACTTCTGGAAGACTAGGTAATCTTAGCAGGCCTGGGAGAAGACTAGGCACTTTTAGCAGGCCTAGGAAAAGGTCTCTTCTAATTCAAGGGTGACTAAAGAAAAGGCAACAAAGGGGACACAGAGGAGGAGGAGCTGAAGATGGTCATGTGGAGAGATCTTAATTTCACTTCTAAACTGAACCATTGTTGGTCCATTGAAGGCCTGCCCTCAGAGAAGGTTAAAAAGTCCCCTTGTGACACACAGCCACGTCACATGTAAAAATCGAACCCTGCTATCTACGAGACTATTGTGACATCATTTCCTGAGGTTAAAGGGAATGGAGGGGCCGCAGCGGAGGAGGAGAAACGAAAGCCTCAGAGCGCTCAGCAAAAATGCCAGAGGAAGGGAAATTCATTTACGATGTTAATTAACAAGCGGCTAATTAAAACGGCACTTTGAGCGCTAATCAATCGCCTTATTAAGTTAGAGCCATCACTGGAACAAATTGAAAGCTCCCCGCCCAGTCTCAGCTTCTGGTCAGGCGGGGCTGGGTTCCCATATCCGGCACTGTGGGTGGGGAAGCGGCTGTCGGTTCTCCAAACTGACGCCCGCCAGCAAAACTCTCCAACTCTCAGGTTAATGCGTGTGGAACTTCCTGACCCTGACAGGGGACCTGCCGGACTGGACAAGTGTGTAGAAGACCGTTTTATGGTCCAATCGTTCCCACTTGGGAGAAAGGGATGGCTTGCATAGAAAAGCAATGTTTTCAGCAGTAACTAACACCTACATCCCCAGATGAGCTCTTCTGCGCTGGACCGAGAAGGGGCTGCCAGCTAGGAGATAATGCAGCCGGGGAGGGGGCGCTCTCGAGCCGGGATCCAGCATTCCCATCCCCCCCCCCACCAACCTACCACCCCAAGATGAAAATTCACAGAGCCTTCCCCCGGTGTGGCCTGGCAATCAGAAAAAAAGACTACCTATTTTTAAACAGCAAAGGCAGGACAGCCCACCTCCTCGACTCTGTCTCCCTGTGTTGGGGAGGGAAAAGCAAAGGCCTTTGCTGATGACCTGGGACATGTCTGGCACACACCAGCCAGTGCCTCCACCTAGCATCCCTATGCCGGAGACCTCCAAACTCACTAAGGGAATTAAGATTTTGAATCCTTATTTTGAGGAGCCTTCTGCATTTTCTAATTGTGTGATGCTTGGTTTTCACCAAATTCCCAACATTTGGTCATAAGAGGGGGCTGTGAATTTAAATGTTAAATGAATCCTTCTCGTTTGTCTCCACCTGCTTGGTCTCTAGGTTAGGAATGAACACACCGGACCCGCTCACAATAACATTCCTTGGGTGCAGGGGAGAGGCACAGTAAAGAAAAATCTAAGGGGTCTGCTTTGCTTTTTTTCAGCCACTTTTCAAAGGGGGTTTTTGGCGTGGTAGTTGGTGTGCAACGTGGCCTATGGTGTAGTTTACGTGCCTCAGATGACACATGGGTGTCTGAGCTGGCCTGCAGGCTCGCCTTTCTCTGGAGGTGCGCAGGGCGATATCTGTTGGTGGATCTGAGTTTGCTTGGGATGTCCCGGGAGAACCGAAGGAACGGCTCCCACGTGCAAAGTTCAAAAGCATTAATATTTTCATCATATTACCATTATTCAATATAATAATATTTGCTCGGTTAGCGGCACTAATTAGGCCACATTAAA